TTTAAATTTAAAATCTCATTTAATTTTTTTTATTTAAACCAATGAGTAGATATTACCAATGCAATTTTTGCAAATATGGATTTGGACATTAAAAACCGGTTTTTTTTTTCTTTTTGTGAGTGGGGTCCACAACATTATACTGTGACCAAAAGCCTACTTTTTGAGCCCCTCATCTTTTTAAATTTAAAGGTTTTAATCTCGCACCTTATATTATGATACTTTTAACCTCTCACTTTATTTAGACTCGTAGGTTTTAACTTATTATCTTATACTATAATACTTTTAATCTTTTACTTATTAAAATTGAAGAAAATAGTCCTCATTTTATAATATTTTGTTAGTTCTATTAACCGATTATTAATTCTATTGGTTGACTGTTAGTTAACTCTTAATTGACAAATTTTTTTTTTCAACTAATAAAGTTAACAGAATTAACTTTATAATATTTTATTATTTATGTTAACTGACTATTAGTTGACTATTAATTAACAAAAACTTACTTTCAACTAACAAAATTAACAGTCAATATAAAGTGAGAGTTATTTTCTTAAGTGATGGGTTAAAACCTACAAATCTAATAAAATGAGAAGCTAAAAGTGTCATAATATAGAGTAAAGAGTTAAAATCTTTAAACTTCATAAGATGAGGGATCAAAGGCTAAAAGTAGGTTTTTGCCCCTTACACACCTGTCGCCCTCGTATCTCTCCTATCCATGTCTCTGCTCATCTTCACCATGCCCTTGAGACTTACCAATTGTAATAATCGAAGAATAAATCACATATTCAAAGGACAACAGCATCATGATCCCCACCTTTTCTTTCTCTCTGGTGTGTCTCTTTCTTAACTTCAAAAGATCTGCATTTGATTTCCACAATTTGGGGTGTTTTCCAAGCTGCTTCAGGCACAAATCTACAAATTCCTACTTCTATTCTTGTTTTGTTCTTTAGCTTTGGGTTCCATCTATCGATCTCACCTTCCCACATTTCAATTGAAGTTTGGACAGGTGAGTCAAAACCGAGGACTGAGATAGAATGGCTTTTGTAATTTGTTTGGCCATCTAGATATTCAATCAATTCAACGGAAGAATTCACAGAAGATGACAAATGCTTACATTTTGCTTTTGATGATAAGAAGAATTAAAGACACGGAATTTTTGGGTGCAGTGATGGTGTAGGGATTTGTTTATACAATTTTCTAACATGCACAAGTTGAGCGTGATTAGATGAAATATTTGAAATTAATTTTATGTAAATTTTTAAATTAAATTTAATTAAAATAAAATATAAAATAACATTGGGTCTCACGATCCAATTATTCTAAATTTGCTTATAAGATGTAACCCTTCAATCTGAGAATTAGAGTTCGAATCTACCATCTCTCATAATGTAAATCCGTTTAAAATATATATATATAATATAATATGATATTTATATTTAAAATTTATATAAAA